CACTGGACATCTCTACAGAAGGGCATCAGAGAGGAGATGAGCCAGTAGGGTACGATGTAGCAATGAAGAAAAATACAACTTTCTTCTAGTTCCTAAATGCTTCCCTGCTCCCCCACCCCCCAAAACATGACCCCAATTCTACCTTGCAAGTCTGGTTAGACCAGAGGATGCCCACTGGTACAGATAGGAACTGGAAACAGGGAATCTAGGGTGGATGATCCCTTCAGGACCAGTGGTGAGTGGCAATACTGGGAGCGTAGAGGGAGGGTGGGTTGGAAAGGGGGAGTGGATTACAATGATCTACATGTGACCTCGTCCCTGGGGTATGGACAACAGAAAAGTGGGTGAAGGGAGACATCAGACAGGGCAATATGACAAAATAATTTACAGATTATCAAGGGCTCATGAGGGAGGGGGAGGAAAAAACGAGGACCTGATGCCAGGGGCTTAAGTGGAGAGCAAATGTTTTGAGAATGAGGGCAATGAATATACAAATGTGCTTTATACAATGGATGCATGTATGGATTGTGATGAGTTGTATGAGCCCCCAGCTGGCCATTTTATGCAAAAAGGACAAAAGTGTCTTCCAGTCCAGTAGTTTCCACAGTATGGCCCACATCCCTGGCAGGTGACAAAGCTATCTAAAACACTCTAAAAACACACACACACACACCGAGTGACACAATGCAGCTCTTTGGGGGAGACAGGTTCAGACTCCCACGGCCTGTAAACTGCACCGAGGATTAAGGGCTATGTGATAGTGATACCGAATTATGGTTAACACTGCAAAATAAACCTTACCTGCTTCTCCACCATCGTGACCAGCTCTGAAATGACTTGTGCATCACAGGGCTTTCGCCGACTTGACTTTTGGGAGCAGACCAGCATGCTTTTCTTCCTAGTCTTAGCCTGAGAACCCCACTGCTCAGCCTCATAGTAATAGTGCAGGTGTGCTAGGGAGGAACACGCACGCCTCTTGTACTCACTGCCACAGAGTCAACTCTGACTCACAGGGACCCTAAGGGCAGGTTAGAACTCACTGAGCTGCCAATATAAATCTTCATGGGAACAGGCCTCGCCGTTCTCCCTGAATGGCTGGAGTCCCACACAGCTGAGCTTCAGGTTAGCAGGCGGTCTCGTAACCAGTACCACCAGGGCTCCTCTCCTGGACGGTGAGAATTCTACCCTCAGCAGTGATCTAACCCCAACCAAACTCACTGCCGTGGAGTTGATGTGGACTCTCAGTGACCCTAATGCCTGATGGAATTTTAGATTATAACTATGGGAGTAGAAAGCCGCATCTTCGTCCTGCAGAACAGCTTTTGGCTTTGAACTGCTGACCTCATGGTTAGCATGCTGCTAACCAGCTTGTAACCCTTGGGGCCTCAAGTCCCAGCGACCCTACAGGATCTTTTACTACTACTGTGAATCACAAGTGACATACTGAGTGTGAGTTACAAGTCCCTAATATGCATCATGTAGAAAGAAGCCTCTTGTTCCATTTACTGAGTATTCTGGCTGCTAGCCAAGGCCACTCAACTCCATGTACATAAGCTTATCAACAAAAGCTTGGGATGCTTTATTCAAGCTGGTTGAGTATTGTTCTAGCACCCTGACTGGCAATCCCATGTAGAGTATAGCTGTGCTCCCCATGGTCTCTGGCCTGAGGCCTTTTAGAAGCAGACTTCAGACACAAGATACAAGAAAAACAACAGTCTCTTGGGGAGAAGACACAGAAAACAGACAGAACTGCAGTTGAATTATGGTGCTGCCAGAAACTTTGGAAACCCCAGACTGCCAAAGAACCTGTCTTTGAAGTACTGCTGGAACCCTTTAGGATGGTGAGACTTCACCTCATGTACCTTGGACGTTTTTCGAGACCAGTGCCTGGAATTACGTATGGTAGAGAGGCAGTGACAAAGGGAAGACCCTGACAAGGTAGACCAGGTGGTTCAAGAGTGGACTCAACCCGTGCAGATGGGGCAGGAAGAACTCCTCTGGCAGCCAGCAGTCCAGTGCTAACCATGAGCCACCCATGGACGCCTGCCTGCAGCTCACAGGCAATTGACATCAAAGGCTTAGTATCAGTGACTTAGGTTTCCAGAATGTCTAATTCAAATGTCAGATTAACACACCTAAGCCACATACTCACGCAGGGATGGTTGACAGGTGACGTTCTGCTTGACCAAACATGTCCTAAGGGTTGTTGTAAAATGTCCCCTATTCTGGGTCCATCCCTGCACAATAGCCCTGGCCATTAGTTCTCCCACATGGCTGCTCCTAGTTCCCCTCAGCACCCACCTTTAAGATGTAGGGCTCTCACGTTTCCCACACACCTCCAATGACCAACTATTAACCCACTGTCACTTAAGTAAATGTGACACTTCCAATTTAATCTGCCCCAAACCCAACGGTTGGCTTCCCACCCCTTCCTGCCCATTGTCTCCATCTCACAGGGCCCTTGGCATTATCCTTTCTCACTGTCCACAGTGAAGTCTTTGGTTTCTACATTTCCATCTACTACTCTACCTTTCCCCGGGTTCCTAGCCTATTGGTTGTGCTGGGCTTCGATCCAAATGGCCAGCAATCTGAAACGACAAGCTGCTCTGCGGGCTTGCCGCTTTCCACTCTGCAGTCCTGGAAACTCACCCAGCAGTTCTAACCTTCTCTGAAAGTCGCTGAGGGCAGGAACTTAATTCTACAAAACCCTCCTGGGGTGGGAGGTCCTGAACTAGAAGCTGTGAAGGCTGGACCTGGAGGGTCTAAATGCACAGAACCAGTGGAAACCAGCAACACACGACACACGTGACTGCCCCGAGTGTACTGGACATGTTTTGGTGCCCCAACAAAGACTTCTCATGCCCCATTCCAAGGTGTCCAGGGGCCAGCGACCTTACTTGTGTCAAGCTTCATGGGGCAAACCAATGTAACTCCAGAAATTAAGGGGAAGCTCTCCATCTGGCCCAAATCCATGTGGAACTAACAAGGGCCACAGCAACCATGCAGGGGGTGGACCCACACTAGGGGGTTATTTTACAACTCCTAACAATGTTGCTTTATAAAGACTTGAGGAAAATTGGGGAGGGGTGGTCTTCAACTGTGATGTAAATGTGAAATTTCTTAAAAGGAAAAAGGCGGATTCAACTCTTACTTCCACTGCTCTTCCTCTTCCCCAGCTGACTTCAGGTTGCAACTTGGTCATCACTCCCAGAAACCCCCAGTGGTCTGTCCTGAGCATCCTCAGACACCCTCCTGCTCACCAGTACAGGGACTTACTCACTAGTCGTTAGATGGTCAATTCCAACTCATTGCAACCTTACAAGGCAGATTTTTCAGCAAGTACTGGTGGGCTGAAGTGCAGGAGCAGCCCTACCCTGACCTGTCAGGCTGCTGTCAATGGAGTTTGACAACCTGTCAGTTGAGTTTGAATACAATGGGCCCTGGTGGTGCTAGCAGGCACTTCAGTAAATCAGAAAGGACTCAATGGCACCTAAGTGTCATTTGAGCACAGATATAGGGGCAGTCAAAAGGCTAGGAGATAGAGCTGCCAACAATGGTGGCAGCAGGTTCAAAGTGCTGTTGACAGAAAACACAAGAAATGGCCTCATGCCATCTATTCTGTGGCAAGGTGGAGAGACAAGGTTCCAGTCAGTTCAAAACGGTCTACATTCGCTTTAAGGTTTAACCACTTCACAGCAAAAGTTCAAAAATGGCTGACTCAACAGCAACCTGTGACTCCGGGGAACGTCCCTGTCACTTACAGCAAACAGATCTAAGAACCTAGTGGCTACTCTATCCCTCAGCGGGGCACCTAGAAGACAAATTTATGAAAAACTGTCACCTGGTTCTCTTCACCTGTTCGACTCAGCTTCTGGTGGTGTATGAATTTTGAAGCCCCAAGAGCAAATTCTAGAATGCCAACTATCATTCACCCCATTCACACTATGCCAGACTCAAGGGAAGACTCCCTGGCCTGCCTCTCACCTGCATATTTTAACATTTCCGCTTTTAAATTACAGGTGTAGGACAAATTATGCAACACTTATGTGACATCATAATGAGTCCTTTCCTGGAATCTTCTCCTTGCTTCTCTCAGTCATTACTGTACTCCCCTATTCAATCATGGCTGCCACAGGCAGGCAGGCAGAAAGCGCGAGGACATTTTCTCTTGCATCTGTAGGAAACCTAAGAGCAGACAGGAACTGCTCCAGGTCTGTCAAGTAGATGCTTTTCCTATTTGGAAACAGGTCTTTCCAGTTAACCACACAGTAAGCCCCAGGAGGGCCTCGACAAAACTGCCCCCGCTGCTGCGCAGACAGCACAGCTGTGTCCCCACAGGGCTGGACACTGGACATCTTCACGTGCAAGGGTATCTTTCAACCCACCTTAGCCCACAAAGCACCAAACATGGTTGGCAGGTCAGGCCAGGTTGTCCAGCCGCAGTTCTAGTACCCATCCCAACTCCAGGGAGTTTAGACACATTCTTTCCAGGAGACTCCTAGACTTCTTTAGAACTTGGTTCTACTCCTCCGTTTCCGATAAAAAACTCAGACAATACTCCGCTTCCAATTGTATTAGTCTCTTTATTCTTTTGATAATCTCTTCCATTTTTAGGTGATGAAATGCTTAAGGATCCACTTCAGATGCTGGCACCGCTAAAAACATGGTCACTCCCTTTATTTAAACTCAAAATTAAGCCTTTGGATTCTTGTCTCTATTCGGATCCCTGCAGTTTGGCTGTAGCAGGCCTCTAGAGACAGCCTCACACTGCAGCGGCCGGTCTATATGTGGCTCTGGCTTCTCCAGGAGCGCTACAAGGTGAAGTCAGTTTACTGATAGTCAACCAGGAGGCATTCTCAAGTGAGTTTAAATGTATTTTATTTTTAGACAACCTACACGACATGGTTTTTTTCCTTTAAAAAAAAAAAAAAAAGCCTCCGCTCCAAACAAATCAAGGTCAAAAGTAAATGAAGAGCTCACAATGACATCAGTTCCGTTTGTCTAAGTCCTGGTGTCGTGTGGATGAACAGCAGCCGGTTAGGTTGAGAGGCATTGGTCGTGAGTTGCCCACTGTGTTA